CCGCAGGCCACTACAGCCAGTTCGGGGGCCCTACGTATACCAGCACCCGCACCCTTGGCTGTATCGGGGGCCTCACCGCTGCTCTCTCGGTTCTGCTGGCTTCGATCTCTCGAGACGGCCATCTCGACGGCCCGAGAACCCCGAGATGGCCCCAGGACCAGGCTGCGCGGGCCCGCTAACGTGGCCCCTTCACTCTGGCGGTGCCTGAAAACCCTTGAGTTTGCTGATCGCGCCCAGTCCCAGCGCGATTAGCAAAAACCCATTCCTCTTCACGCTTCCAGGTCAGTGCCCCCGGGGCTCCCCGACTGCTTTCTGAGATCGCCCCTGGACGTGGCCCCTTACACGTCGGCCCCATGCGCGGCCTCCAAACGGGACCCCCAAAGGCGGCCCCCCCACACAAAGCCTCCGAAGTTCGCCCCTACCGCCCCAGTAAGCGTGGCCCCCGAACGTCAACCCCACGCGTAGCCTCCAGGCGCCCCCAAACGTGGCCCCAACACACACACACACAGCCCCCAACCATTGCCCTCAAACGTGACCGTCACATCTGCCCCCGAACCCCACACCCTCAAACGCGACCGTCACATGTGCCCCTGAACCCCGCACGCGGCCCCCAAACATGGCCCCTGGCAGGGCCGCGAACGTTGGCCCCAGCCATGACACCCTGACGAGACCCCCCAACGTGGCCCTCAAACGAGGCCCTCCAACGTAGCGCCCAACTCTGGCCCCCACGCGTCCACCCCCCACATCGAACTTCTCGCGCACAGGGACTCTGTAAGATCGGTCGGGCCCCCTTACTCTGATTGCGTCTGAAAACCTATGTGTTTCTGCTAATCGCGCCCAGGCCTCGCGCGATCAGCAAAAACACATTACTTTTGACGCTTCCAGTGCTTCCGACACGTGCGCGTTCGGGACCACTGCCTGGACCTGCGGGCCGTGGATTCTCCACGGGTTCACACTAGTCAGCTACAATGCTGGGATCAGCGCGTGCGAGAAGGGCGATCAGTGGCAGCGGGCGCTGGCGCTGGTCAGCGAGATGCGGGAGGCGAAGCTGGAGCCCGACGTCACTAGCTACAGCGCTGGGATCAGCGCGTGCGAGAAGGGCGAGCAGTGGCGGCGGGCGCTGGCGCTGGTGAGCGAGATGCGGGAGGCGAAGCTGGAGCCCGACGTCATCAGCTACAATGCTGGGGTCAGCGCGAGCAAGAAGGGCGAGCAGTGGCAGCGGTCGCTGGCGCAGTTGAGCGAGATGCGGGAGGCGAAGCTGGAGCCCGACGTCATCAGCTACAGCGCTTGGATAAGCGCGTGCGCGAAGGGCAAGCGGTGGCAGTGGGCGCTGGCGCTGCTGAGCGAGATGCAGGAGGTGAATGTGGAGCCCAACATCGTCTAGACTACACTACCGAGCTCAGCGCGTGCCAGAAAGACACGTTGCTTACATTCGGCGGGCCCGCGGCGGCGGCGCCTCGGCGGCCCCGCTCGTGGATCGACGCCGTCGTGGCCCAGGAGAGTCTCGCGAGTGCCCCGGAAGGCCCTTTTCCCATGTTTTTGATGCTTTTCCTCTTACGATCGCTTCTGCGGCTAAAAGACAAGCAACCCATCCCGAGAAGCCTCCCAAATCGTTCGACGGTCCCAGAGGCCCTCAAGACGGCTCTGGGGTCTCCCAAGACGGCCGAACAGCTTCCCAAGACGGCCTCAAGGGAGGCCCAACAGGGCCACCTCTGGAGCGTTCCCTTCCCTTCCGCCCCTCCCACGGCAGCAAGCCTCCAAGAAACCCCCGGGAGGCTCCAAGACGGGTTTCGGGGGCATTCGCCAGAGGAACCTCAAGACGGCTCCGGGGACTCCCAAAACGGCCGAACAGCCTCCCAAGACGGCCACAAGGGAGGCCCAACAGGGCCAACTCTGGAGCGCTCCCCCCCACTCCCGCCCTTCCCACAGCCAGCGAGCCCCCAAAAGAATCCCCCAGAGGCTCCAAGACGGCCTCCGGGACAATCCCCAGGGGCTCCCAGAAAGCCTCCAGCAGCTCCCTCGACACGGCTCTGACGTGCTCCCAGAAGCCCCCGGCTTACTGGAACAAGTGAAACCCCACTGGCTCCGCGAAGGCCTCCAGCAGCTCCCACCGAACAGCTCCGATTTGGCTCCCAGAAAGTGCTGGTGCGTGGGAACAAAGCCATACCCCACACTTCTTCTAACACCTCCCGCGCTGCGGGGGGTGCACACAATAGCTGTCAGATCCCGCTGCGGCCCCCTTGGAACGCTGTCTCTGCGACCTTTTCCTCCCCGTCGTCGCTGTCCTCCGTAAGAAGTGCTTCTGCCCGCAGAGTCGGAACCGCACGATTGGGAAGAGGAGGAGGAGGCGGAGGAGGAGGAGGAGGAGGAGGAGGGGAGGAGGAGGAGGAGGGGAGGAGGAGGAGGAGGAGGAGGAGGAGGAGGAGGAGGAGGAGGAGGAGGAAGAGGAGGAGGAGGAGGAGGGGGAGGAGGAGGACCAGGAGGAGGACCAGGAGGAGGAGGAGGTGGCGGAAGACGAGGACGAGCCAAGTACGAGGAGGAAGAAAGGGCGAAGGAGGAGGAAAAGGAAGAAGAGCTGCTGTTGTTGCTACGGCCCGTGCCCCTGGATCTGCTGCCGCTTATGCTGCTAGCGCTGCTCTGGACGCCGTCTGAATCATCAAGCAAACAACACACCAAACAATGAGCAGCAGCACGGGCAGACTGACGACTGGCATTCGTGGACGGTAGTCCACGGGTCAGTTCTAGTCTCTACTACATTGCAGGGGCATCAGCTACAACGCTGGGATCGGCGCGTGCGCGAAGGGCAAGCGGTGGCAGTGGGCGCTGGCGCTGCTGAGCGAGATGCAGGAGGTGAATGTGGAGCCCAACATCGTCTAGACTACACTACCGAGCTCAGCGCGTGCCAGAAAGACACGTTGCTTACATTCGGCGGGCCCGCGGCGGCGGCGCCTCGGCGGCCCCGCTCGTGGATCGACGCCGTCGTGGCCCAGGAGAGTCTCGCGAGTGCCCCGGAAGGCCCTTTTCCCAGGTTTTTGATGCTTTTCCTCTTACGATCGCTTCTGCGGCTAAAAGACAAGCAACCCATCCCGAGAAGCCTCCCAAATCGTTCGACGGTCCCAGAGGCCCTCAAGACGGCTCTGGGGTCTCCCAAGACGGCCGAACAGCTTCCCAAGACGGCCTCAAGGGAGGCCCAACAGGGCCACCTCTGGAGCGTTCCCTTCCCTTCCGCCCCTCCCACGGCAGCAAGCCTCCAAGAAACCCCCGGGAGGCTCCAAGACGGGTTTCGGGGGCATTCGCCAGAGGAACCTCAAGACGGCTCCGGGGACTCCCAAAACGGCCGAACAGCCTCCCAAGACGGCCACAAGGGAGGCCCAACAGGGCCAACTCTGGAGCGCTCCCCCCCACTCCCGCCCTTCCCACAGCCAGCGAGCCCCCAAAAGAATCCCCCAGAGGCTCCAAGACGGCCTCCGGGACAATCCCCAGGGGCTCCCAGAAAGCCTCCAGCAGCTCCCTCGACACGGCTCTGACGTGCTCCCAGAAGCCCCCGGCTTACTGGAACAAGTGAAACCCCACTGGCTCCGCGAAGGCCTCCAGCAGCTCCCACCGAACTGCTCCGATTTGGCTCCCAGAAAGTGCTGGTGCGTGGGAACAAAGCCATACCCCACACTTCTTCTAACACCTCCCGCGCTGCGGGGGGTGCACACAATAGCTGTCAGATCCCGCTGCGGCCCCCTTGGAACGCTGTCTCTGCGACCTTTTCCTCCCCGTCGTCGCTGTCCTCCGTAAGAAGTGCTTCTGCCCGCAGAGTCGGAACCGCACGATTGGGAAGAGGAGGAGGAGGCGGAGGAGGAGGAGGAGGAGGAGGGGAGGAGGAGGAGGAGGGGAGGAGGAGGAGGAGGAGGAGGAGGAGGAGGAGGAGGAGGAGGAGGAGGAAGAGGAGGAGGAGGAGGAGGGGGAGGAGGAGGACCAGGAGGAGGACCAGGAGGAGGAGGAGGTGGCGGAAGACGAGGACGAGCCAAGTACGAGGAGGAAGAAAGGGCGAAGGAGGAGGAAAAGGAAGAAGAGCTGCTGTTGTTGCTACGGCCCGTGCCCCTGGATCTGCTGCCGCTTATGCTGCTAGCGCTGCTCTGGACGCCGTCTGAATCATCAAGCAAACAACACACCAAACAATGAGCAGCAGCACGGGCAGGCTGACGACTGGCATTCGTGGACGGTAGTCCACGGGTCAGTTCTAGTCTCTACTACATTGCAGGGGCATCAGCTACAACGCTGGGATCGGCGCGTGCGAGAAGGGCGAGCAGTGGCAGCGGGCGATCGCACTGTTGAGCGAGATGTGGGAGGTGAAGCTGGCGCCCAACGTTATCTGTACTACAATTCTGGGCGTTGCGCGTGCAACAGGGGCGAAAAATATAAAGCTGCCCCCGGGCACCCGAAGCGCCACGGCGCTTTCCGACGGCTCCAGAAAGCCCATAGGCAGTCCCAGACGGCCTCTGTCAGTTCCAGACGGCTCTGAGACGCTCCGGAGCGCGCGAGGTCGGCCCAAAAGAACCCGAACGGAGCCCCGTGACAGCCCAATACGGCCCGACGACGGGCCAGGTGCATCCCAAAACAGTCGAATCGGACCCCGATGATATTCCACCAAGGCCAAAATCATTAATGTTTTTGGTTGTTAATTCGGTTTTCCAGGTTCTCGCCGTTTCGGGCCAAGAACGGCCCCAGACTGCTCCAAGGCCATCCCAGATCGCCCCAAGACGGTCTAGGAGGCCCCGCCAAGTACCCCAAGACGGCCCCCCAGAGGGCCCGAATATTGCCCAAGAGAAGCTCAAGACAGCCTCATAATTAGAGCCCTTGGTGGCCCCGAAGAAAAGGCCGAAGAAGGCACCAGGAGCTCCCCAACAGGTCCCAACGCGGGCTCCAAGACGGCCTGAGGCAGGGCTCGTTTCGATTCCTTCGATTCGATTCGATTCGATTTCGATGGCCTCCGATTCCGATTCGATTCGACATGGGATTCCGATTTGGGTTCCAATTTCCTATTTCAGGCATACTAGCCTGCCGATGTCTGCCGATTCGACTTTTCCCTACTCGGCTGCCGATTCCCACCGATCCGATTCATTTGGATCGCCGATTCGACTTATCGATTCGATTCTGGGCGCTCCTGCCTGAGACCGCCAACATCGCCCCAGGACAGCTCGAGAAGCCCCGGAGACAGCTCAGGAGATCCCCCAAGTGGCTCAAGAAGGCCTCAAGAGCTGCCAGAGGGCCCAAAGCGGGCCCCTAAAACGGCTCGAACCATCCACCATAGCCCCCAGACGTCCCAAGACTCCCAACATCAACAGTCCCCTCCAGATGGCCCTAGGACGTCCCTACAGGCCCCCACGACGGCCCAAGAGCGCTCTAACGTGGCTTCAGAAACGCCCCCGAGGCTCTGGAAAGACCTCCAAGAGGCCTCCAATAGGGTCCGAAGAAAGCCCAGACGATGGGCCGCCCGCAGCTTCCAATGGGCCAAGAACCTTACCAGGACCACTCCTTCCCAGGACCATTCCGACGCACCAGAGTCTCCCCAAGAGACTCCGACACTTGCCAAGGAGCTTTCAGCAGAGCGCCATCAGCCACGGCACCCAAAGAAAGCTGCGGACCCCGAACGAAGACCTGAGCCATTTCGATACACCCCATACCCTCCCAAGATATTGTGATGATTCCGCCGGAGCTCCCAAGAGAGCTCTCCGCCCCTGTGCCTCCCCAGCAGCCTTCAACAAACCTACTTACCCATATGAAGACCCAACGAGCATCCTCTCCCCGTTTGGCTCTCTTCTCCCACTCCTCATCCGTCCTCCTCCTCCTCCTCCTCCTCCTCCTCCTCCTCCTCCTCCTACTCCTACTCCTACTCCTACTCCTACTCCGTCCTCCTCCGTCCTCCTCCTCCTCCTCCTCCTCCTCCTCCTCCTCCTCCTCCTCCTCCTCCTCCCCCTCCTGCTCCTTGGCTCCCCTTGATCCACGCTCCAGCAACTCTGGGGTCCCCACAGCCGATTCGGGGCGGTGAGGGGGGCATGTCGACACCTCGGAGCCACTGCAGCAGCGCCCGCACCCTTTGCTGTCTCCAAAGGCCTCCAACAGAATCCGGAGACCGCCCGCGCTCCAGAGCCACACTCTTCCTCCTCGGCCTCATGCTCGCTCTCGTGCGCCTCACCCCCTTCTCGCTGCCCACGGCAAACCCGAGCTCGCGGTGGGCCCCCTCCCAGCCATCGGGGGTGACAAAGGGGGACCCTCCTCTCTCTTTCCCGCCCTGGCTTCCTCGCCTGCGAGCCTGCACTTCCCTCTCTCTGGACTGCTCTCTCTTCCTCCTAAGACCCCCTTCCAGGGGTGACAAAGGGGGACCTCGTATGTCGTCTGCCTCGGCGTCCTCTGGGAGCCTGCACTCCCCCCATCTCCAGTATCGCTACCCTCCTCCACCGCCTCCTCCTGCAAGAGGCTGCAGCGAGACTGGATTGCGGCAAGCTTTCGATGCCACAAGAACCTTCCAGGGACCATTCCGAGATAGCCCCAGACCCTCCCAAGACATTCGAAGACAGCCATCAGTCCCGGAGCCCGGAGCCTGCAGCAACCCTTGTCGGCGACACACGCGTGTTCGGGTCAGACACCTCGACCTGGCAGCCGTGGATCGTCCACGGGTTTTCACACCAGTCAGCTACAGCGCTGGGATTAGCGCGTGCGGGAAGGGCGAGCAGTGGCAGCGGGCGCTGGCGCTGCTGAGCGAGATGCGGGAGGCGAAGCTGGAGCCTGGCACTATCTGTAGATACCCATCAATCATCTGAAAGAAGAGCGTCAATTTTCGTGGACTCCTGATTTCGCTGAAGAAAATTCAGAGTCTGGACGGAGCCGTGGGCGTTTTCTTGGAGCTTCTTTTTTCGTAGAACGTTTCTGTGGATCTGGATTACGGTTCAAGAGAGCGCGTCGAGAGAAGGCAATTGTCTTAGCGTCGAATTTTCTCAACTCGAATCGGGCGACGAAGTCTATACATATCCAACGCTCCCTGGCCAGGCCCATCTTGGACCCAGGAACTGTGTGCACGCCCCGCTGGGCAAGCCAGGAGGGCGTGGCGTACACACCGCTGCTGGGTTCAGGACGGGCCTGGCCAGGGCCGCCGCCGAGGCGGAGGAGGCCGCGCCAGCGGCGCTGCTGGGCGGCCTTGTTCGGCGGATTTTCCCACCACCACTACCATAGGTGGGAGAGGGGGAGGGAGAGGGAGGGAAGGAGGAGGAGGAGGAGGAGGAGGAGGAGGATGATGATGATGATGATGATGATGATGGTGGTGGTGGTGATGATGATGATGATGATGATGATGATGATGATGATGATGATGATGAGGATGATGAGGATAGTCGCCCATATGGCACGAGCGCAGGTTTGGCGACAGGCGCCGTTCCATCGGAGCACCCCCTCGTCCTGCAGGTACCCGCAGTTGATCAGGCCCTGAACGGCCACTGCCTGATGAGGGCGGCAGGCGGCTTGCTGGCGGCGTTATCTTCCAGATGCGGAGAACAGGCACACGACCTGACGCTGAACCAGTCGCACGTCTGGCGCATGCTTCACTTCAATCCCCTCGCGGCCACCGCGGGGGATCGTCTCGAAGAGATTGAGTTGGCTTGTTCTAATTTCGACGCAATTACGCTCGTGGGCACCCAGCGCCGCACTAAGGAAAGAATGGAGCAATCTCGCAGTGGCAGCAGGTGGCGCATTGATGCAGGATGGTCCGCTGGTTCCATGACCAACAAGTCCACGGGCGTTCTCATTTCCTTTGGAGCAAAAATTCGACAGAAGCATCTTCGTAAAGTACAAGTTCCACCCGCACATCTCGCTGGCCGAGGGCTAGCGGTGCGGGTATCGTCGAGTTCGTGGGATCTCACGGTGATCGGCGCATACTATCCCCCACGACCCACCACGGTGAAGGCGCTGCAGGTATATGATAAGACCGTCACGGCACTCACGGATTGGTTGGATCTGATAATTAGCTCGACGCCGACCCGCAGTGTACCCATCCTTGGAGTGGATCTCAACGACGGGCTCGGTAAAGATTATGACACGGCACGGGGCGGCGAATATCTGGTGGAGACCTCCGCCGTGCTCCCCGCGGGTGCACGCCGAGAACATGCCGCGGGCCGTGCCTTTCGTGAGCTACTGGAGAAGCATTATTTATACGCGCCGACGACGGGGAGTGACATCGCTACTTGGTATGGCACCGAGGGAGCTTCGTCGATCGTAGACTATATGGCCATACCTCAGACACTTTCACAAATGACGCGCACCAGCGGTCCACTTCTTCGATTGGGCAGACAAACACAGCGAATACCCAGCAAGTTCCGACGAGATCACGTTCCACTACATGTGGAGTTTCGACTCCCAGGCGCACGAGCTTTCCAGGCGGTCAAAGGAGTTCGCTGGGACCGTGATAAGTTGATGCAGGCATACTCTCTGGCAGGCAGCGAGGAGGGGGAACAGTTCATCACGCAGATCGAGCAGCACCTGGAGCAGAACGCCGAGGAGGTGATAGCTCTCATCAATCACGCCTCCCCCGACCCGCTGTTCGAATATTTGGAATCTCTTATGATAGCGGTGGGTGAAGAATTATTCACACGACAGTCTTTATATGATGATCCAGAATATCAATTGCGCAGGACACGAAGGGAATTCTTACTCAAAAAACGAATGGACACAAGATCGAAGTTCGACACGGACATGATTGAGCAGGATAAGGACGCGCTCGAGATAGAGCTGAAGGCACTTTCCCAACGGATGAAGGAATATCGACATCGCGAATGGCTTCGGTTTCAGGAACGCACGCTAGACGCACTATGGGAAGCATGGAATAAACGACAGCACGCTGAGGTACACCGACTTTCTCGCAGAGCGGCAGGCACAAAGTTTGGCACGAAGCGCAGGTACCACCTTGCAGTTCACACAGCCGGCTTGAGCAGCACGCAGTGGATGCAACAATGGAGCTTACCTGGACATGAAGGTGGCATGGGTACGCAACTTTTGAATGACTGGCATGAGTGGCGGGAGCAACGGACGGATTTGGAAGCAATGGCAGTCTTGGATGAGTCACATCGGAAAGCAGCGAAAGGAGATTTTCACAGAGTTCGCAAACATCTTGGCAGAGCAGCAAAGCGTCGAGCTGTACCTCCCTGGGCCGCACCTCTCGAGCTTATCGCACTTCTCATGGGCAGTGGTCCGCAGTTACCAGAGGACGTGGCACCAGCAGGACGGGGACTTGGACTAGGATTACAGATTCGCGAAGCACCACTTTTCAAGCGAGTGATCGAAGACGGATTTGTTCGAATACGTACAGCTGGACGCACCCCTACCTACTGGCACACGAGTCAGGGCATTTCCTGGCCAAAGAAGACGGCAGGCGTCACGGACATCGGAGACACGGCTTTTGGGCTACGCACGGTACATCTGCTGGCTCCTCTAGGCAAAGCTTGGTACGCAGGCAACTCGTCGCTACCGCTGATGCCCCATACAGTACATGGATTTCTAAAAGGACGCTGTAAGGAGAACGCTATCATTACAGTAAATACCACCCTCTATCGGATCAAGCAAGCTGGTCGAAGCTGTCTACAACACTTTCACGACCTAAGCAATGCTTTTGGAAGTACTGAGTGGACGGAGCTTGACAACGCGAGCATGGAGTTTATGAGAGAAGACCTGGGCGGAGAGTTTGGACAGCAACGGTACCACGATGCGGTCATCTCCCTCCCGAGCATGAACGGCACGTCTACACTACTCAAGCCAACTTGCGGGGCATTGATGGGTGATCCATATGTGGTGCGTCTTTTTGTCCTTGGATTTCAGACTGGGGTCAATCAATGGACTCGAGCGCTGACTGAAAAAGGAATCGAGAATGAGGAGTTGAGGATAGAAAGCCCATTTACGAAACGAACCGTGGACTTATCGCTGTGCCAGTACGCCGATGACTTGTCGAAGACCATCCTGGGCAAAGAAGGAGAGGGACTGGAAGAGCTAACTAGCAGGAGTATCGAGACGAACGAGGAGCTCGACATTTCGCTGGAAACCATCGGCTGCCGCCAGAACCGCTCCAAGCAAGAGATCATTCCCGTGCTCGCGGGGCCAGGCTCATACCGTGACGCGCTGAACCTGAGGCAAGGTAGAATTCTTTTGCCCGCTCGCCATAAGCCACACGCCAGGTACCTTGGAGCTGAGGTCGCCGCCAATTGTAGCTTCTCGCCAGAGTTTCAGAAAAGACGCCGTGCTGTGGAAGTGGCGTTTCACTCCCTGGGGCGTTTTTGGACCCTGAAACGCACTCCCTGGAAAGCAAGGCGAGGCATGTTGATTTGCTGCGTTCAGAACGCAGCGTTGCACGGCAACGAGTGTTTTATTTTGAATGAAAACAACTGGCAGGCCTTAGATAAGTTAGTTGCACGCTATGCACGTATTGCTATGAGAGGCGCCGCTCATACACAGCAGGAGGAGGTGGTGGATGGCAAAACACGTACTAAACACAAGTCGATGACGACCTCGGAGGTGCTAGAGTATTGGCGCATGGCTCCCTGTAAGTTAGAAGCTCGAGTTCGCAGAATGAAACGGTATCAAGCTATCGCACGCTCGCCGCACCAAAATGATCAAGTACTCACCGCAATGTTCGGCACGCACGCTTTCGATTCGGAGGAAACAACTATCGGCGACGACATCACAGATCGTGCAAACCCGTGGGCCAAACGAGTGAAGTCTGACATTATTGATAGCCTGAGCGAGATGGATGATGAGGGAGGTACAGTTGGGAGTATGGCTCGTCTGGGGTTTCTCCAGATCTTCCGTGATCCAGAGCTGGGGGAGGAGTTTGCACAGATGGATTTCACACGGCTTCGTCAAGGAGCCCACTCATCGGCGATACCCCCACCTGGATGGATCCCCTCGACGGTGCCTCGCATTATCCCTCCATGCGCCCCGTGTCGACAGCAAGAGCCTGAGGAGTGGGTATGTGGATTCGAGATGGAGGAGGGGGCGACCTGCCCAAAGAAGTTTAACTCATTCAAATCGGTTGCACATCATAGACTTGCTTATCATGGACTACGCGACCCGTGGGTCTCCTTAGTCGTCACAAACGTGTGCCCGTATTGTGAAGGTGTATATGGCTCAGTTGTGGCAACACAGCAACATGTAGTAAAAAGCGTTCTACGAGGAGGTGTATGTGTCAATCGCTCCAGATATCTAGGAGGCCCTCTACACCCCGATCGTCGCCGGTGCCATTTATGCTCGTTCGAGGCTGACACCTTTTCGGGATTGCAAGAGCACCTTCAGTCACACGCTCCACCTTTCGACTCTCTACGCAGTGCTGAAGACGATGCCTTTCGAGCTGAAGGCCCCAGCGTGGGGACTACGGCAAGAAGGAACTGGCGAACCACCCGCTCAAAGACGCAAAAGGCAGGCCAACGAAATCGTCGACAGCAGCGAAGAAAAGACGGTGGCAAAGCTGGTGCTCATCCTCGCACGTCTCGCCTTGTCCAACGCAGCGGAGCTCAGAGAGGTAACGGGAATCTTGTGGCGAACCGTCCTGCTTCTCAGCACGCACCCCATCTGCTTGGCGATGAAGGCCGCAGGAGTCGCTTACCACAAAGAGGTGACCAGGCTGCAGGGCAAGACTCAGGAGCTCGAAGTTCTCGGAGTGCCGTATGTGCACGTGTTCACAGCGATGCTACAAGGCATGGCGAAAGGAGATCTAGGGGAGGGAATCCAGCACGAGATGGAGAAGTTTTGGAGCCAGTCCGTCGAGGGCAAGACGGCGCAGCAGCTACAGGAGGTGGTACTTCACTGCCGAGCGAAACCCGCCAAGAAGAAGGACGGACAGCCCGAGATGACCAAGATCGTCTTCGCCCTCAGCCGAGACCACGACGGCATGGAGAAGCTACTGGTGAATGTGTTCAAGGGATATCAAGGCATCGTGAAGATGGGCCCCGCTCCTCGGGGTCCGCTGGAGCGAGCAGCGCAGAAACTTCTGGACGAGTACGAGAAGAAGTGACACGACCACGGTTGAGTGCACACCAGCGTCTGATGCTACGCGCCCATAGTGAGAGACTCTTGACCTTAGTGGAGCAAGGCGTTGTGACGTTGGAAGCAGCAACGAGAGCGGCGGCACAATCTAAAGTTACAGTTCCCGTTCGCCGACATACCCGCTCTCGAATGAAATAATTTTGGTTGCAGCTCCTTTTTGGTCCAGACTGAAGCCGTGGAAGGCACTCATATGATATTCCAGTAAGCGGAAGTTTGGACACTGCTGAGCCGCACTATTTAACACTGCAGTGGAGAAGTTTATCTTCATCGCATTCGGCACTGATGTGGAATGGTTTATATTCTACGAATGGCGCCCCCACGGAACCGAGCCCGCCGCGCGCCGCGTCGAGGGGGGTCCCTCCGGCGGCGCGCGGCCCCCGCTCGCGCTCCGTCGCCAGCTCGCCCCAAGTACGGTGCCTTCTTTGATTCGTATTGGTGATATTTGACCCCCTCTGTCGGTGTGCAACGCCTTAATGTCTGGACCGCTGGTCCTGCGCCTTCAGAGGGGGCCGCTCCTTTATGTTTCAGTGATTGAAGCCGAGCAGATCTACATCATTGGAGGCAGTGGTGAGATTCTGTTATGAGGACATGTCCTTCCTCCCCGACGGCCTGTACGCCTAGGCGGGAGCGCCCGAGAGAGATAAAAGGATGGCACCTCGTCGGAATTTGTAATTCGTTTGGCCTGTCAGTTGTTGTGGAGCACCTCCCCTTCTCGCGCCTGCCTCCCCCCCGCGCCTGTTCTCCCTTCCACGATAGATCGTTGGCCCCTAATTGAATGCCCTCTCAGATCGGTGGTGCGTCGTGGCTCTCGGGTCCCCCACCAACGAGTCGCCACGAATCGCCTGTGGGCCCCCACCCCCAGCGTTCGGGGCCAGCTGATCCTCCTGTAGGCCCTCAGGGCGATGTGACACAGCTGAAACTCAAAGGGTTCAGGCCCAGTCTTTTTGTTTTCCAGCTCGTATGTGGACGCCCCCAGAGACCCATTCCCATTCCCATGATGAGGATGATGAGGATGATGATGAGGAGGAGGAGGAGGAGGAGAAGAAGGAGGAGGCGGGAAAGCAGGAGGAGGAGGAGGAGGAGGAGGAGGGAAAGCAGGAGGAGAGGAGGAGGAGGAGGAGGAGGAGAGGAGGAGGAGAGGAGGAGGAGGAGGGGGAGTTGGAGGAGGAGGAGGGAGGGAAAGCAGGAGGAGGAGGAGGAGGAGGAGGAGGAGGAGGAGGGGAGGAAGGAGGAGGAGGAGGAGGAGGAGGAGGAGGGGGGGGGAGGAGGAGGAAAGCAGGAGGAGGATGAGGAGGAGGAGGAGGATGAGGAAGAGGAGGAGGAGGGAAAGCAGGAGGAGAGGAGGAGGAGGAGGAGGAGGAGGAGGAGGGAAAGCAGGAGGAGGAGGAGGAGGAGGAGGAGTGGACATGTACAGATTTCGTCGCCCTATCCAAGCACGGGCCGGCGGCCCTGCCTGCCCAGGGCCTACCCAGACCTTCCTTTCGCGCCCTAGCAAAAATCACGACGGGAGGTTTTTCGTTTTTGTCGGCCTCCGGGGGCCCTTCCCAGGCTTCGGGGCCGTCAGAAAACGATTCAGGATGAAAAAACCGGTCCCGGGGAAGGGGTCCAGACGTTTGGGGGTCGACGTGATTTTCCAGACAGCTTGCTGAACGGGGTGCTGTTGTGATAGAAGCTAACTCCGGCCGAGGGAATTCAAAGCAGAGACGACGTCCTCAAAAAAATGTGGTGGTCTGGGCAGTTTCGCCTGAGACATCCTCGCAACTCTCGTTTCTGAATTGTCTGGGATTGGGCGTTTCGGGTGAGACATTTTCCAAACTCTGATTTCCCAGATGCCGATCAAGAGGTGGTCCGGCCCGTTTCGCCTGAGACATCCTCAAAACTCTGAGCTCCCAGATGCCGCGCGAAGGGTGGTCCGGCCCGTATCGCCTGAGACAGCCTCCAAATTCTGAGCTCCCAGATGCCGCGCGAGAGGTGGTCCGGCCCGTATCGCCTGAGACATCCTCCAAATTCTGAGCTCTGAGATGCCGTGCGCGAGGTGGTCCGGCGCGTTTCGCCTGGGACATCCTCGCAACTCTGAATTCTGAGATGCCGCGCAAGAGGTGGTCCAGCCCATTTCGCCTGAGACGTCCTCGAAACTCTGCTGTCCGAGCTGCCGCGCAAGAGGTGGTCCGGCCCGTTTCGCCTGAGACGTCCTCCAAACTCTGAGCCCCGACATGCGGCCCAAGAGGTGGTCCGGCCCGTTCCACTTGAGACATCCTCGCACTTTTGCATTCCGAGATGCCGCGCGAGAGGTGGTCCAGCCCGTTCCGTCTGAGACGTCCTCGAAACTCTGAGCTCTGAGATGCCGCGCGCGAGGTGGTCTGGCCCGTTTCGCCTCAGACATCTTCGAAACTCTGAATTCTGAGATGCCGCGCAAGAGGTGGTCCAGCCCATTTCGCCTGAGACATCCTCGCAGCTCTGAATTCGGAGATGCCACGCGCGACGTGGTCCAGCCCGTTTCGCCTGAGACATCCTCGCAACTCTGAGCTCCCAGATGCCGCGCAAGAGGTGGTCCAGCCTGGGGGCCCAGAAGACCACATGTTACATATCCCCCCTGGGACCCTTGGAGCCCCAGGAGGCCCCAGAGAGCTTCAGGAGGCCGCAGGACGCCCAGGACAGGCCCCAGGGGTCCCCAGGAGATTCCCAGGAGGCTCCCAGGATGCCCCAGGAGGCCCCCTATCAGAACGTGTCAATCCACATCCGGTGTCGATTCGTTGATTTTTCCTGCTCTTGTGGCCCCCCCCGTTTTGGGGGTCCCAGACGGCCACATGTTAGATATTCCCCCCTGGGAGCCCCAAGAGGCTTCAGGAAGCCCCAGGTGGGGTCCAGGAGGCCACAGGAGGCCCAGGAGGAAGCCCCAGGAGGTCCTCAGGAGGCCCCAGGAGGCCCCAGTAGGCCCCCGCAACTCGGAGCTCTGAGACGCCGCGATCGAGGTGGTCCGGCCCGTTTCGCCTGAGACTTCCTTGCAGCACGTTTCGCCTGAGATATCATCGCAACTCTGGGGTCCGAGATGCCGCGCGCGAGGTGGTCCAGCCCGCTACGCTGGAGACATCCTCGCAACTCTGGGTTCCGAGATGCCGTTCGAGATGAAGAGGAGGTGAAGGAGGAGGAGGAGGAGGAGGAGGAGAAGGAGGAGGAGATGGAAGGGAGAAGGAGGAGGAGGATGATGTGGATGAGGAAGCAGGCAGGAGGAGAGGGAGGAGGAGGAGGAGGAGAAGGGAGAAGGAAAGGAGTTGCAGGAGAGGACCTAACGGGAAGCGAGTGTGACGTGGACTTGACAGAACGTGTGCGAGAGGTTGTCCGGTGTCGCTCGCGAGGTGGTCCAGCCCGTTTCGCCTGAGCCATCCTCACAATGCGATGCTCGAAGGTGTTGCGCGCGAGATGGTCTGGCCCGTTCTGCCTGAGACGTTTCGTAGCACAGGGGCTCCAGTCACAACCTCTCTCATTCCTTCTCCCGCCTCCCTCTTCCCGCTTCCCGCCTGGCTCCTCTTCCCTTCTCCCTCCTCCCGCCTCCCGCTGCTGCGCCTCTGCCTCCGCCTCCCCGTCCCCGCCGTCGTCGTTTCTGCCGCCTCAGCATCCGTCATGCGCGCCCTGCCTTCCGCCCTTCCCAAACATCCGACGCCACGATTTTTCTTTTGAGACATGCCCCCCCGCTTCCGCGCCCTCCCCCGCTTCCTCTTACAGTTGTTTCCGAGTTCAAAGCATGGTGGTGTAGCCTCTGACAGTGCCGACCCGACAGCTTACTCGTCGACCAGGTGCGAGAGAGTACGACACCCTCTAGCGTTAGCTTCCTGAAAAGGCATGCATCACACAAGTTTTCGTATAAACATCTCATGTGCAAACATCATGTTAGCATGTCCTAGCATGCCATGCCAGCCCGCACTGGACGGGCACGCGATCGACCTTGGAAACCGCAGTGGGTTTAAACACCTTGTCTGGGGATACGGCATCCCGGCTATAAATTCGCAAGGTCAAAAAGTCACGACGTCGGGGGTCTGGGTAGGCCTCCAACATGGCCAAGACGGTAGAGGGAAAACAATTCCCGAAGACCCCTTTCCCTTCAAAATTCAGAGGTGGCACGCGCGGAGGAGATTGCGGTCGAAATGCAGCTTGTCGGACCCGCCGCCGCCAACTTGGAACACTGGGGGGAGGGGGAGGCGTTGACAGATGAATGTGGCACGAGTGTTCGCTTTTGCGAAGGCCTTACGGCCGGCGCCGCCGACCCTGAAGATGAGGACGCTGACCACGACGAGGCAGAAGGAGGAGAAGTAGGACGAGCAGGGGAGGAGCCGCATGAGGAGGAGAAGGATGAGGAGGAGGGCGAGGAGGATGGGGAGGAGGAGGTGGAGGCAGAGGTTTATGGGAGGGGGGGGGGGTCGCTATTTGTTTCCGAGGCCTGGATGGCCCCGAGCAGTTCAGTTCAGGATCGCCGCAATGGCCAGCCTGGCCCCTGGGGGCCTTTCTGGAGTCCCCTTCCCGCGCGGAGCATACACTCAAGCACACCCAAAATGGGGTCCAGCTGAAAGGGGGTGGTGCAATATATTCGGGGCAAGTGTATTGCAAAGGTATTGCGCCGGAGAGTTGTAATGCATTGTATCGCAAGTAATGAATTGCACGCAGAAATACAGCAATACATTTGCGCCCGGGAATGTACTGCACGCCCCAGATGTATTACAACCCCACAAATCTATCGCACCGAATCTATTACACCACCCCTGTGTCGCTGGACCCCTTTTTGGGTCAACCCGATACACGTGCATCCTGGGAAGGGTACACTTGGAGGTTCTGTGCGTTTTGGCCGGCGGAGGATCTCATGTTCTTGGAAGGTTGCTGTTCCGTGCGAGGGCCAGCCGTAGTTTAGGATCGCCTCCAGAGCCACGGAGGCCTCCGAGTCCGCCAACAGGCAGGCTCAAAGAGCCTTTCCGGGAGGTTTCCCTTTGGTTTTCAGTGGGTGGTCGTTTCTGCACCTCTTGGTGCCTCCGATTCGCAGACGGCCCTGGAGGCTTCATGAGGCCTCCAGGATGGCCCCAAGATTCGAAGTGAGACTGAGAAGGCCTTCTCAGAAGGCGCGATGGCTTCTCGCGCCTTCTGAGAAGTCTTCTGTGTTTTCGGGGAAGGCGTAGAAAACTTCTCAGAAGGCCGGGGGGCTTCTGAGCCTGTTAGAAGGCCGCCCCTTCTCACCACTTCCCCCTCGCAGTCGCCGTCAAATTCAATACCCCAGCGGAGCCCAAGAGGCTTCTGTGACGTCTCCCAGACGCGGCCTGCCGCGCCGCGGGCGGCCTTTGAGACCACTCAAGAGGGCCCAGGATGACCTTCAAGACGGCCCTGGCGAGCGCGAGAGAGCGTCAAGTTCGCCCCAGACGCCTCCTGCACGGTCCAAGATGGCCCCGAGACGGCTCAAATATGCTTCAGCTGGCCCCGGAGGCTTCCGAGTGTGCCCAAGAGGGCTCCAAGAGCTTTGCCAGGAGGGCTCCAGGAGGCCCAAAGCATGGATGATCCTAAGGGTTCCAACGGATTCCGATGTCTCACCCTTTCGCGCCTCCGACGCCCAAGATGGCCTCCAGCGTGGCCCACAGAAACCCCAAGCCGGCCTCTGAGCGGCCCCACCCTGGGCCCACGAGGCCCCCGTGACGCCCCCACGACGCGGCTTGCCTCTGCAGCGTAGGACCTCTGAGACGGGCCCAGCTTCTTGCTCAGTTCTGCTTGCTGAGCAAAGTTCTGCTCCGCTCTGCTCGTTCCTGAAGGGAATACCGTCTTGTCCTCGCCGGCCACAGTGTCGGGTAACTTCCTGAACGCGTTTCTCGACCGCCCGTTGCTGATCTCCAGACGGGCCAACACTGGGCACAAAGAGGCTTCCGAGGCTGCCCAGGAGGGCCCGAGAGATCCCCAGGCTCGCCCCCAAGACGGGCCAAAAAATGGCCCCGAGGCGGCACTCACCACCCACCAAACCACCCCAACCCAACCCGAAGGCCTCAAGTTGCCCTCCACTTCCAGGGGCGGGGAGGGGTCGGGGAACACTGACAAACTACATGGAACCCGTAACCCCCCCACCACACCCGAAATGCGGGTCTTTTGGGTCGGGTTGGGGTGGTCTGGTAGGCAGTCGGGCCCAGCACTGCCCGAAGACCGGCTGAGGGGGAGGGAGGAGGAGGAGGAGGAGGAGGAGGAGGAGGAGAGGAGGAGGAGGAGGAGGAGGGGGAGGGGGAGGAGGAGGAGGAGGAGGAGGAGGAGGAGGAGGAGCCTCCACGCCGACCGCCGGGAAGCCGCCGAGAGCCGCCGTGGATCTCGGAGTGTCTTCCGGGGCCTCGGCCTCGGCCTGCACGCCGCGCCGCGCCCCCGACGCCCCACAGCGCAGCCCCGGGAGGCCTCCATAGCGGGTGGCCCCGCAGGGCGCCCTCGAGAGGACCGCGGAGTGGCCCAGCGGGCCCGAGAGAGTGTTGCCCGAGATGGCCTTCGGGTCGTGATGTTCCGGCCTCCTTTTTGAGCTCGGGGGTGGACAGAGCCCCCAACAGGGACACGTCGATTCGTGAATCGTCCGTTGTTTTCGGTCCGAGAGAGGGTGCCGTGGCCGTCGTTTCCAGGCTTGCGCCCGCCAGGTTTGGGCCTCAGGTCGTTTTCACTAAACCGCGTTTTACGAAAGGGGGGTCAGTCCATCCCCGATGAGCCTGGACCATAGCAGAAAGGATTTCGAGCACCAAGAGAGCACCGAGGCTCGAGGGCCTTCGCGCGTCGGGCCGTGGGAGACGCGCGTTCGACACCGTTTTCCGACATGGTTTTTTTTCGACACTTTTCCGGGGGCTCGAACTTCTTGCTGGGATGTGGTCTTGAAGTACGAAGGGAGCAACATACCCCAGATTTCGCAATAAAAGGGAGGGAGTCACAACCGCCCCAGACGATGAGTTTTAGACCCCCCCGTGGGAGAAACCCTCCAAAACATCGTCCCCAGACCCCCCCAGGCCCTCCAAGATAGCCTGGAAGAGACCCCCCCCGAAACGAGACCCCCCTCCCTCTATTACGAAATCTGGAGTAACTTTCGAGACCGTCCCTGAGACCGCCCCAGAGGGCCCGAGAGGCCCCCGAGTTCGCCCAGACGCCTCCCACATGGGCCAAAGATGGCCGCGAGGCGGCCTCGGGGTGCCTCGAGGCGGCCCTGGGGGCCTCCGCGAGGCCTCCTGGAGCGGGCGGGGTGCAATGATGGGGGGTGACCTACATGGGGGGGTGAAGGAAGGTGCCCCTCCAGGACCCTTTTTCTCCCCCCCCCTATGTAGGTCACCCTTAAGAGCCTGGAAGCGTCTCTCGTTTTGATCTTTCCCCCCTCCTGTCTCTTTCGGCGGGTAACAGACTCGACCCTCCCCTTCCTTCTGCCCCTCCTCCTCCTCCTCCTCCTCCTCCTCCTCCTCCTCCCCCTCCCCCTCCTCCTCCTCCTCCTCCTCTCCTCCTCCTCCTCCTCCTCCTCCTCCCCCTCCTCCTCCTTCTACTCCTCCTCCTCCTCCTCGAGAGCCCCTGGAGCCCCAGAGCATACAGTAGGTTCACGCGGCGTTGGCGCGCCGGCGACGCTGGCGAAGGCGTTCAGTGCAGAATTCCGCATGATAGAACGACGCAGAAGCGCCGAGGGACATGGTAACGCCGGAGGGATCCGACTGATTTTAGTTTGAACTATTGGGGCCGCGATCGGTTCAAGGTTGAACGATCGACGCGGTGACAAAAACTCTTGCGCGCGCCGACACCGCACGACCCTTCCGCAGACTTCCCATTGGTTGTCGAACGACTCCCTAGACAGCTGTTCTTGCACTTAAGTCGGGGGTGGACGGAACCCCCACCCTGACACGTCGATTTGTGAATCGTCCCTTTTCAGTTCTCGAGAGGGCGCCGCGGCCGTCATTCTCCAGGCTTGCACCCGCCAGGTCTGGGCACGAGGCCGTCTTCGCTGAACCACGTGTTTTACTCCAGGGGGCTCTGCCCGTCCCCCGACTTTATAAGGGTTCTTGCCTCTCTTCTGGCCCGGTGCCCGTCGTGAGGCATTTCCGCTTCTCCCTCCCAGTCGAGCCTGTGCGTGCACGCGGCCGCTCCGTAATGTCTTTCCAGTCATACAGTCGGGGCCCTGAAGAAGGAACCCTTTTCGTTGGAGAGGGGCTCGGCGTTCCTTGATTGTTCTGCAGTTTGCCTGCAATTTTCCTGAGGCTTTCCATGGGAAATCGAAGCTCAGCGTATGGGAGAAAGGGGCCCCGTTCCTTATTTAGGGTTCCTTAGGTCAACGCCCCGACTGTACTTGTCTGAAGCGTTGCCACTCGCGCACTCTGCTGCCCACACGTCCCTCCGGACGCTCGGCTCAGTGGTGGTGCATGGCCTTTGTGGGCCCCGGAAACGGCAGGGCCGTTTTTTCACCGTGTCCAATAAAAATGCCCCTTGAACGTGGAAGCGGCAAACAAAAACGGCGACTGGAAACGGTAACAGAAACGGCTCCAGGATTGGAGCCGGAGCCGGAACCGGTCAAAAAACTGCGACGGCTAACCGGTAAAAGGACGGCGTCGGAACCGGCAACGAAAACGGCAAAACGGAACCGGTAAGAAAAACGGCCCTGTCGATTCCAGGGCCCAGCCCGTGCGGCCTCAGGCTGCGGCCGTGCGCCGCCGCCGCCGCCGCCGCCCCTGCGCTTGGAGCCCCCGCCGGGTCGGCGCAACAGACTCGTGGGGCCGCCCGTCGCCGCCGCCCGCCGCCGCCGCCCGGCCCATCGCAGGGACTGCGCGCCGCAGAAGATCGGGTCGGGCGAAAGGGGGGGATAGCAAAGGGGGGGTTTGAGAATCAGCTCACGTAGCTGATTTTCCCGGCGCCTCCTGGCGCCTATGTATCGAGGAATGGGCCCTTCGGTGAGGCCGAAACCAGCTGCATGCAGCAGATTTCGTAACCCCCCCTTTCCCAATCCCCCCCTTTCGCCCGGCCCGAGAAGAGCACGAGGAAACAATGCGAGCACCATACAGTGAGCGGCTTGAATAAGGAACGCTTGCTTTTCAAAAGGGGCTCGGTCGTTCCTTAGGCCTGCATGCGTCATTTGTCGTTCCCTGTGCGTTCTGTATTACTTGTTTATCGTTCCCTATGCGTTATTCCTTGGAAGAAAGGGGCTTCGTTCCTTATTTATCGTTCCTTAGGTCAGGCCGATGACTGTAGAGTACCGGGACTGGGAGGTTTTCACGTGTCGGGTTCCGGGAGGCGATGCTCGTTCGACCCCGTTTCGACATTTTTTTCCGTGGGCCCGAGACTATGTATGGGGGGATTTGGCTCTCCAGTACGACGGGAGCAGCATAATGCACCGCACGGACTGCACCGCTCAGATTGCGACGCATAGACTGCAAGAACTCACTCTTTTGGGCCAACGCTGGCTGACGTTTCAGCTTTCTCGGCTTCTCGCGCCTCCGACGGCCCAAGACGGCCTCGGCGGCCTCGAAAAGATGGGCCGCGGTGGCCGCAGAGGCCCACAGGACGACGCCAAGGAGGCCCCACCCCTGCCCAGGAGGAGGAGGAGGAGGAGGAGGAGGACGAGGAGGAGGAGGAAGAGGAGGAGGAGGAGGAGGAGGAGGAGGCGCCCGTGACGGCTCCTAAGGGGCTGTCACCGGCGAGGCAGGGCCGCACGGCTCCCCTGCAGACTCGCCTGAGCGCATGTGCTCCAGGTGTGCACATATCGGCTCGGCAGGAAGGCACGGGAGCCTTGCAGGTCCTCGGAGTTCCCTTGTCAGACGGAATCGGCGTGCGCCAGCGCTTGGGCACCGATCCGGAAGCGCCGAACCAGCGTCGATTCGGGTTGATTCGACTTGGCGTCAAACAGCGTCGGTTCGCAAGAGCGAGCAAGATAGCAAGATGGTATAGTAGGCTCCCAGGAGTTACCGCAGAACCCTGGTCAGACACTGGTCAGCTACAATGCTGGGATCAGCGCGTGCGAAAAAGTCGAGCAGTGGCAGCTGGCGCTGGCGCTGCTCAGCGAGATGTGGGAGGGGAAGCTGGAGCCCGACGTCATCTCTTCTACAATGTAGCGATCTTTGCGTGCAAGAAGGTCCTCTGTCTTGAAAGGTCCGCTGGGCTCTCCAGGCCGCCCTGCGAGCCCCCGGGCCGCTCCGAGACGGCTCAGAGACGCCCACAAGGGCGCCCGGACAGACCAAGAGGGACCCAACCGAGCCCCAGGTCGGCCCCTTCGGCCCCCAAGGCAGGCCAGGAGGCTCCCAAGGCGGCCCAGGAGGACCCCCAGGAGGGACCCAAGAGGCAAACATTTGCCCCATTCCCTACGGAAAACGTGCATTTTTTATATGTTTGCTCTTTTCGTCTTCAGCGCGTCCAAGACGGCTACACAGGCCGTCCCGATCGCCACAAGACGCCCCCAGAGCACTCCAGGAGGGCCCCCAAACGGCCCGAGGCGGCCCCGCCACGGCTCCAGAGACGCCCTAGACGGCCGCAGAGGCAACCAAGACGGCCACAAGATAGCCCCAGAGGCGCCCAAGACGGCCCCAAATCGCTCCAAGGCGGCCCAAGATGTACCCAAGACGGCCCAAAAGGGCCCGAGAGACCCCCAGGAGGACGAAAAGAGGCTTCCAAACGGACCCATGAGGCATTGAATGCTTGTCTCTTGGGGAGCGTCGACGACTGACGAGAAGATCGACGGGATGAAGGATCGAGGGGAGGAGGAGGAGGAGCCACTGAGATGTCCCGAGCATGATCCGAAGGAGGCCCCAAGACGGTCCAGACACACCGAGATGGCTCCTAAAGAAGATCGACTGGATGACCGATCCAGGGGAGGACGAGGAGGGAGGAGCCACAGGGATGCCCTGAGCATGCCCCGAAGAAGGCCCCAAGAGTGTCCAGACAACCCGAGAAGGCTCCTATCGCGCAGCCCAAGTAAACCAAATCGACAGTTAATTGACAGTTTCTCCAGCGTCCAATCGGTGATTCTCCCGTGCACCGGGCGCCTGAGCGGCCCCTGTGCGGGCCGTCTCGGCGCCCTCTTGTGGGCCTCTTGGGTCGTATATCACGCGGCCCCAGCTAAGAGCAGATAAAATGATAACGGCGCCCCGCCCCGCAAAGGCTATGATGAACACAAAGCGCGGCGTGAGAAACAGCTTCTGTCCACACCACGTTGTGCCTACATGCGTTCCTGCCTTCAGGCCTGCTTGCCTGCATCCCTCGCCCACCTCCCCCTTCAGCGGCCACTTCCCCCATCCACACCGTCCCCTTCAACCTCCCCCCCCGCGAGGCCCCGGAGACACTCCCTTTCCACGTCCACACCATGGCGGGCAGACTCCGCGGCCGGAAGGCCGCGGGTCAGCCCTAGTCTCTACTACATTGCAGGGGCACGTGCGTGCGGGAAGGGTGCAGGCTCAAATGTCTCAAAACCGCCCCGGGCTGGCCCCGGGCCGCCCCGGGCCGCTCAGGCAGGCCCCAGGACATGTCGAGAGGGCCCCCAGAAGCCCCCAAGACGGCCCCGGAGAGCCCCGGCACGCTTAAAGATGGGCCCAAGATGCCCGAGATTCGCCCCAGGCGGCCCAAGAGGCGTCCAAGACGCCCGAAGAGGCCTCCCAAGAGGCCTCCCAAGAGGGCCCCGAGCGACAGAAATCGTCGATTTCTATTGTGTTTTTCGATGTTTTCGGCCTCCTCGCCTCGTCGGCTTCCCGACGCTCCAAGACGGCCCAAGAAGCCCCCCCGACCGCTCCAAGACGGCCGAAGAGGACCCCAAGAGAGCCCCAAGACGGGCCAGGAGGGCCCCCAGACGGTCCCAAGACGCCCCAGGACGGCCCCAGGACGGCCCAGGAGGCGCCCAAGACGGCCCAAGAGGCACCCAAGACGACCCCAGGAGCGGCCCAAGACGGCCCACGACAGCCCAAGAGGCGCCGAGGCGGGTCTCAGACGGCCCCAAGACGGCCCAAGAGGCACCCAAGACGGCCCGAGAGGGCCCTAAGAGCCCCCCCGGGAGGCCCAAACGAAGGCCGAAGAGGCTCCGAAACGGCCCCCACGAAGCCTTCAGTGCCTTCAGCATTCCCTCCAGGAGCGGGGAAGCGGACGAGAGGCGACAGGCATATCGCAGGCAAAAACGCCCCAAGAGATCCCCAAACGGCCCCCACGAAGCCCTGAGTGGCTTCAGAATTGCTTCCAGGAGGGGGGGAGCGGACGAGAGGCGACTGGCATATCGAAGGCACAAAAGAACAACGCTCCGAGGGCCTTCGATGTTTCTCCGTTGGGGAGAGTCGTCGTAGGATCGACGATTGCCGACCGAGGGCAGCGAATCCAGTGGAGGCCCAAGAGGCCCCCAGGAGCCCAAAAGAGATCCCCAAGAGGTGCCACGGGGCTTAAAAACTGCTTCGAAGCGAGGGGGGCGGACGAGGGGACCGCCTCAGGAGGTTTTGGACGGTTTTGGGCCTCAAAATCGTCCGCTTTACGACGGTTTTGGAAGGATTTTGGCCTTCTCGCCTTTTCCGCTTTCCGACGCTCGAAGACGGCCCAAGAGGCCTCCAAGAGCGCCCCAGAACGGCCCAAGAGGTTTCCAAGAGACGACGCCCGAAGACAGCCCAAGAGGGGGCCCCACAGAAAATCCGAGCCTTCCGCCCCAAGAGGGCGCCAGGAGGCCCAAACAGGCCCCCAAGAGGCCCCAAGGGGCCGCCAAGAATCCCCCGAAGAGGCCCCAGGAGGCTCCCAAGGAGCCCAAACGAGGCCCCTACAGAGGCCCCAACAGCTTCCAAAATGGCTCCGAAGAGGCCTCGAGCCCGCCTCCGAGCTTCCTCGCCGCGAGGGTGCCAACACGGCCCCAGACCGGCCCAGGACGGCCCAAGGCGCGCTCAAGACGGCCCAAGACGATTCCAAGACGGTCCCAGGAGGGTGCGCCCAGGACGGCCCAAGGACGCGCCCGTTCGGGGCAAGATGGCAAGAGAGTCCCAGCTGGCAAAAATCGTTAATTGTCCATTGTTTACTGTTACACCCTTTGCGTTTCCCGCCGTTTCGGCGGTCCGATGCACCAAGAGGCCCCAGAAAGTCCCAGGAGGGTCCGAGGAACCGCCCAGGAAGGCCCCAAGACGGGCCAAGACGGACCCAACACAACCCAAGGCGCGCTGCGACGGCTCAGGACGGCTCCGAGACAGCCCCAACAGGGTGCCAACACGGCCCCTGCTGGCCCAGGACGGCCCAAGGAGGCGCACAGGAGGGGCCCAAGACGACTCCAAGGCGGCCTCCTCACGGTCCCAGACGGCTCCAAGACAGCCCCACGAGGACCCCGATGGCCCAGGACGGCCTACGGACGCGCCCATGAGGGGCCCACGACGAACCAAGACGGCCCCATCAGGGCAAACGGCGCCCTCAAGACGGGCCTAGACGGCTCCAAGACGGCCCTTTGAGGGAGCCAACGCGGCCCCACACCCTTCGGGCGCACACTTGGGGGGGCTGGGAGCTTGCGACGAGTCTCCCACCTTCATTGTCCTGCCCCATTCTGTTCGCCTGGAGGCCTCCTCCAACCCTGTGGGCGAACAAGAGGAATCCCAGCGGGACGCCAACCCTGGGGCCCGTGGGCCCTGCGCCGCTTGGGCAGAAGACGAACGCCGGGTCTGACAGGCCAGCTACCGCCCCCCTTTGCCCGATACGCTGTGCCATTCTGTTCCCCCAGGGGCCTTGGCAAACTCTTCGGGCCAAGCAGACCGGACCCCTGGGACAGCAGCCAATTGATATGACCCTGGGACCTCTCCGCATTCTTCGGACGAGCATCTGGGGGGCCCAGGAGATTCGGACATGGCTTCCCCATTCCTTGCCCTGTCCCGTTCTGTTCGCCCGAAGGCCTCCACAGACCCTCTGGGCGAACAGAATGGGACATGGCGAACAAACCCTCCCGTTGGCGGTGATGCGACTGGATCGCACCATCAAGGCGCGCCCGGAGGTGATGGCCGACCCAACAGCGGTTTCTCTTAAGAGTTCACTGGATTTCATATTTTCTTGAAGCTCTCTTGGGCCCTCCCTGTAGATCCTTGCGAGCCTCCCCGGCGCTTTCGGTGGCTTTCCCCGATGGCCTCCCGAGCCCTTCCCTGGGCGCTCCTGAGACGCCTCAGATGGGCCTCGACTTCGACGCACATCCCCGAGAGACTTCGAAACTGCCCTCAATAGGAGGGGGGTGAACGAGCAGTGCGCTGGGCCAAGCTGCTGGAGCGCTGCAAGAGCTCGGACACGAAGGCGCGGTCTCGCTGCCGCCGCCCGAGCCGCCGCCGTGTTTGTAGATTTTCGGTACAATCTGCGCCGTTCCTCCGAGAACCATTCCATAAAGATGTCGTGGACGGAGTCCACGGGTCAGCCCTAGTCTCTACTACATTGCAGGGCCCAGTGCGTGCCAGAAGGGCGCAGGCCCCAATGCACCCAAACCGCCCCGGGCTGGCCCCGGGCCGCCCCGGGCCGCCCAGGCAGGCTCCAGGACATGTCGAGAGGGCCCCCAGAAGCCCCCAAGACGGCCCCGGAGAGCCCCGGCACGCTTAAAGATGGGCCCACGACGCCCGAGATTCGCCCCAGACGGCCCAAGAGGCGTCCAAGACGCCCGAAGAGGCCTCCCAAGAGGCCTCCCAAGAGGGCCCCGAGCGACAGAAATCATCGATTTCTATTGTGTTTTTCGATGTTTTCGGCCTCCTCGCCTCTTCGGCTTCCCGACGCTCCAAGACGGCCCAAGAAGTCCCCCCGACCGCTCCAAGACGGCCGAAGAGGACCCAAGAGAGCCCCAAGACGGGCCAGGAGGGCCCCCAGACGGTCCCAAGACGCCGCAGGACGGCCCCAGGACGGCCCAGGAGGCGCCCAAGACGGCCCAAGAGGCACCCAAGACGGCCCCAGGAGCGGCCCAAGACGGCCCAAGACAGCCCAAGAGGCGCCGAAGCGGGCCTCAGACGGCCCCAAGAAGGCCCAAGAGGCACCCAAGGCGGCCCGAGAGGGCCCTAAGAGCCCCCCCGGGAGGCCCAAAAGAAGGCCGAAGAGGCTCCGAAACGGCCCCCACGAAGCCTTCAGTGGCTTCAGAATTCCCTCCAGGAGCGGGGGAGCGGACGAGAGGCGACAGGCACGCCGCGCTTGCCCAGAGACCCCTCGCCACGTCGAGCTGATGTCGTGGACGGAGTCCACAGGTCTGCCCTAGTCAGCTACAACGCTGCGGTCAGCGCGTGCGAGAAGGGCGAGCAGTGGCAGCGGGCTCTGGTGCTTCTCAGCGAGATGCGGGGAGCGAATCTGCAGCCCGACGTTACCCATGCGGTTGTTCTGGGCCAGCGCGCGCGAGGGTGACATATTGGAGGCACGTTGGTGTCAGGCCGCGTCGCCGATCTGGGCGTTCCGAGAAGCTCGGGGTCGTTGGGACCAGGCCCCCAACGGATTTCCGAGGCTGTGGGCCTGCACCCGAGGGACCCCCAGAGGCGCCAAGAGGTCTGCAGACCCAACAAATCTGCAAAATACGTTACATTTCCCAACGTGTGTTGGTTTCTTGACCTTTTCGCGTCCACCTTACCCCAGCAGTGTCTGATACCCCCGACGCGCCTCCATTACGGTCCTCAGCCAGCCCCAAGAGGGCCCCAGGACGGCCACAGAGCGCTCCTGGAGAGCACCCGGACGGCCCGACTGGGCCTCCAGAGGGCGCCAAGACGGCCTGCGAGACCCTTGAAGGGCTCCCATAGGGGTGTGCACGCCCCCACTACGGCGCAAGAGAGCCCCAGCGCGTCTCACAGATCCAGGTGCAGCAATGGCGGCAGCAGCCATCAGCAACAATCAACAGCAGGAGGCAGCATCAGCACACGTAACTACCAAGTAACAGCTGACAGCAGTAAACAGCACTGGCGAGCAGCAGCAAGCATCAGCAATCAGTTGCAGCAAGTAAGGACCACGACCAGCAGCAAGCAGTTTCAATCAGCAGCAGGCAAGCAGTAAGGGCTGGCTCTAGACATCACCAAGCAACAGCGCCGAACCACAATAAAAAGTAGCACCAGCAAAGAGCAGGCAGCACCACCGAGTCGCAGCAAGCGGCAGCGAGCGAACGTGCCAGCGGTGAAATTCGCAACCCAGCAATCAAACGGAAATATGTGCCAGGGGCAGCGCACAAGCAGGACTGCGTGCAAGACAGTGCAAATACAGAAGGCTAGCAGCCACACAACGGGGACAGCACGCAAGCAGTGCTGCAGGCAATCGTTTTGCAGACTTGCATGCGAGGAAGCTCTTGCGCACGCTCCAGTAGGGCCCCTGAGGCCGCCCGCAAGAGCTTCCAGTAGGGCCCAAGACGCTCTGAAGATTGGCCATGCCGCCCTCCAGGACGGGCCCAGGACGGCCTCAAGACCGCCGAAGGCCAACCCAAGATGGCCCACAGGTTATCACCCGAGTGCTCACAGACCGCGCCTCCCGCCCCTCCCGCCGGCGCTCCGGAGGGGAGAGGCGCCGCCCCGCTCAGGGGCCCGCCCTCCCTCCATTCCAGCCACGTCCACGCCCACTCCCGGGCACGCGCCCAGGCCCAGGCCAACGCCCACACCCGCGCTCACGCCCGGGCAGAAGCCAGCGTGCCTCCAGCCCTGGCGCGGGGCAGACCCCTGGGCCCCGGGGGGCGGGCAGGCCGAGGCGCACAGGGTCCAAAGGGGGAGGAGGAGAAGGAGGAGGAGGAGGAGGAAGAAGAATAATAATAAGAAGAAGAAGCGGAGGAAGAAAAACAGAGGGAGAAGAAGGAGGAGAAGGAGAAAAGGAGAAGAGGAGGAGGACAAGGAGGAGGAGGAGGAGGAGGAAGAAGAAGAAGAAGAGGAGGAGAAGGAGGAGAGGAGATGAGGCCGGGGAAGGGGATGGGGGAGGAAAAAAGAGGGAGGAATGAGGAGAGAAGGATAGGAGGAGGACGAGCACGAGCACGAGACAGGACGAGGACGAGGAGGAAAGGAGGAGGAGGAAGCGAGAGAGGAGGGGAGGGGAAGCACGTCCATACACCAAAGGGCTGCGAGGAGGAAAAAATCGAGGATGACGATGCTGCACGCAGACATGCTGCTGCGGAGGCAGGAGGGCGGTAGATTCCTGCGGCGGCGGCGGAGCTGCGCGGCGTGCCGCCTGCCCCCGCGGCAAACCTACAGGGAGGAATGGCGGAGCCTAAGCCGCGGCGGGGCCCCTCCGCGTCGCGTCCCCGCCCGGCGTAGCAGCGGCCGCCCCACCACTGCACACACCCTCCTCATAGGTCATCGGGCAACAACTACCAACACAGAGCCGCCGCCGCCCCCCACACCAGCCTCCTCCACCTCCGCCTGAGCGGCTAGCAGCTGCGGAGGCGGATGGGTGCACTGGATTGGGACCTACGAGGCGACGGCGGAGGCGGCGGCGGACGGTAGGAGGAGCTGAGGAGGCTGCACCGAGGCCGAGGCCGAGGACGCGGACGACGGACGCAGCCGAGGCGCAGGCACGAGACGCGGACTCACGGCGGACCGACGACGGACCGCGCCGCAGGAGACGGAGGATGAGGCAGGACGGAGGGGCGGGGCCTCCTTGCGGCGGCGGATGAGAGAAAGGCACACGCTGCGGCGCGGGAGGACGAGGAGGAGGACGAGGCGGCGCTGGAATGCCAAGGCGACGCGCGGCTGCGTGCGCCGGAGCGGAGGAGGAGGAGGAGGAGCAGGAGGAGGAGGAAAAACGTAGCGCCCCGCAGATGCGGATACAAGAGGGGGGCGGTGGGGACGTCGGGAGTTTGCGAGACTCTGGAGAAGCCCGCCGCAGGCGCCAAAGTTTTACAAATTATACAAAGAGCCCGCCACAGGCGCCGGATTTTTCGTTAAACCCATGTGGGTAGGTCGCGGGTGGGTCGCAAATGGGTCGCGGGTGGGTCGCTGTTTGGTCGCGGGTAGCTCGCGGGTGTAGAGGGCAGAAAACCCACCCCATAATCATCGCCCCGGCAAGCGAAGCCGTTCAGTAAACGCACACACGGAATGATTCGAACACGGCAGGGCTGTTTAGTCAATGCCCAGGGCCGTTCCAAACGTCAATCGTCGGGTCTGGGTGGTTTTTCCTCCCTTGAGGGTGGGCCGCGGGGTGGGTCGCGGGGTGGGTCGGGGGTGGGTCGCGGATGGGTCGCGGATGGGTCGCGGGGTGGGTCGCGGGTGGGTCGCGGGGTGGGTCGCGGGGTTGGTCGCGGGTGGGTCGCGGGGTGGTCGCGGGGTTGGTCGCGGGTGGGTCGCGGGTTGGGTCACGGGTGGGTCGCGGGGTGGGTCGTGGGGTGGGTCGCGGGGTTGGTCGTGGGGTGGGTCGCGGGTGCGTCGTTGGTGGGACGATGACAACAAGCAACAACAACACCAACAACAACACGCAGAATTGTCACCACGAATTTCTTATTCAGCCACGCAGCAGGGACAATTAATGACCGTTCGCCCCCTCACTTTGATCAGAAGAGGAATATGCATAGTAATGACAGAAACAATCATAATGGTAATAGAATTAATAATTCGAATAATACGAATACTAGTATTAGTGATAGTAATACGAAGAAGAAGACACATACGAATAATAATATTAAGAACAAGAGGAGGAGGAGGAGGAGGAGGAGGAGGAGGAGAGGAAGGAGAGAGGAGGAGGAAAAGGAGGAGACGAGACGCGGAGGAGGAGGGAGGGAATAAGAGAGGGAGAGAGGGAGGAGGGAAAGAATCAGGAGGAGGAGGAAGAATGAGGAGGAGGAGACAAGGAGGAGGAGAGGACAGGTGGAGGGGAGAGGAGAGCACAAGTAGGAGAGGAGACAAAGCAGAGGGACAAGGAGGAGGAGGACAAGGAGGAGGAGGACAAGGAGGAGGAGGAGGAGGAGGAGGAGGAGGAGGAGGAGGAGGAGGAGGAGGAGGGGGAGGCCAGGGACGAGCCACGAGCGAACGACCACGAGCTGCGGAGCCAGAGGCCCAGACTTCCTCGAGCCATGGAAAAAGAGATCGCGACGGAAGGTTTCTCTATTCTCAGCCGTCAAGCAACGACTCGGGATGAAAAGCCCGTCCTTGGGGAATGTGTCGGGACCTCCATGGCTGTCGAAGTTATGAGTGGAAGTCGCGACGTCGGGGCTCTGAGGGCAGGGCCTGGGGGAGGACCGGCGCGGCGCCAGGGGTGAGGGCCTGGTAGAGGGCCAGGGCGGAGCCAGGGAGGGAAGGCGAAGCAGCGAGCCACATACGTAAAGGGGCCCGGAGCTCCGTTGGGGGGGGGGCCTGGGGGAGAGGGGCTGGTGTTGTGGAAGATGACCCAGGGAGAGGAGGCATATTGCCAAACAGTTCCCAGACGTCAAAAACCTTCTCAGCATGTATTTTAAACGTGCGTCCAAAATCATAGAACCTGTTTGAATTATGTCTCGACGTGTTGTTTACACCATGCAGAGAGCATACAGAAGACATTCCAAATTCCATGATACAACGGCTAGAGTGTCCATTCTCATGGCATCCACAAGGCTACCGGCGAGGGGGTCTGGAGGAGGACTGGGGCTACACCAGGGAAGGAGGACCGTGACGCACCAGCGAAAGAGCCGGTCGCGAAGAAAGAAGGGTTTCGAGGGCCTGCGGGGGAGGCACGGCCATGGGCAGGGGTTGGTGGCAGAGGACCAGCGAGGGTCGGGCGGGCATCTGGGAGACAGGCCAGGGGCAGCGGGGCCAGGAGGGGGCAGGTGGGCGTGGCGCGGCCCTGGGCCAGGGGCGAGGTGGCCATGGTCTGAGCTTGGCATCGCTCGGGCGTGTGCCCATCTTTTCGCGGCGAGGGCCATCGAGGGAGATGCTTGTTCACCTGGTGAAGGGGGCACGCACGAGACCGAACCATGCACAGGGAACGGACGTCCGAGTGATGGCGAATGAGGGTGGCAGGCCAGGGGAAAGGACGGGGCCCGCCGCTTCTCAAGCCGCTCTCCCGGATCCACGCCCCTCGCAGAACTCGTTCCCCACCCACCGCTGCTCCCTCGTGGCCCCCTCCCCTCTCGCACCCTGCTCCTCTATTAGTATTCCTCTTCATCCCTCGCCCCCATCTCCCAACCCCTGTACGCCTCCCTCTTTGCTACTCGCGCCTAACCATTCTCATTCCGTTCTCCTCGGCCATCGCTCCTCGCTGGTAGCTCGTCACTCCTCTCTCCTGCCTCCTCGATCGGACCCCTCACCCCTTGGTTCACTCACCACTAGAAGGCTGCGCCAAGTAGCACGACTAGCCTAGCAGCACACTGGAGCACCAAGCAGCAGCAGCAGCAGCAGCAGCAAAGAGCAGCAGCAGCACCAGCACGCAGCACGAAACCAGCAGCAGCAGCAGCGGCAGCACACTGCAGCAGCAAACAGAGGCAGCAGCATGCAGTCGACGGTAGCACCCACGAACACCACGATAGCAGCAAGCAGCATTGGGTACCACGGGTCAGCCCGGTTCAGCTACAGCGCAGGGGTCAGCGCGTGCGAGAAGGGCGAGCAGTGGCAGCGGGCTGTGGCGCTTCTCAGCGAGATGCGGGAGGCGCAGCTGGAGCCCGACGTGATCAGCTACTGCGCTGGGATCAGCGCGTGCGAGAAGGGCGAGCAGTGGCAGCGGGGTCTGGCGCTGCTAAGCGAGATGTGGGAGGCGAAGCTGAAACCGAACGTGAACAGCTACAACGCTGGGATCAGCGCGTGCGAGAAGGGCGTGCAGTGGCTGCGGGCTTTGGCGCTTCTAAGCGACATGAGGGAGGCGCAGTTGGAGCCCGACGTGATCAGCTACTGCGCTGGGATCAGCGCGTGCGAGAAGGGCGAGCAGTGGCAGCGGGCTCTAGTGTTGCTGAGCGAGATGGGGGAGGTGGAGCTGGAGCCCACCATCATGTACCCTATGTGGCCCGAAGCGGTGCGTGCCTGAAGGGTGGGCGATCAAGTATCCAAAATCCCCCCCGCGGGCCCTCGCAGCCCTCCCTGGCGGGCCCTCGCGCGACCCCCGGCCTCTCCTGCGCACTGATAGGAGCGCTTTCAGAGAGCCCACAGGAGCAGGAACAATAAACGACCACGCAGTCGCGCGCCCAAATGGCCCGCATACGAATCGGGAGGGTCGCGGCACCTAGGGTCTCGGGGACCCGATCGCTCTGCCCGGCGGGAGGGTCCCTGGTGGTGCTGGTCCCCCCCTTCGCTCAGGACATCCTCGCAATCGGGCTCGGCTCCCACGATGGGTAGGGCAGGGGAGTCGCCGATGGGATCCCGAGGGGTGGGGTGTTCTGTAGCCCCGACGGTTTGGGGTAGCGTTGCTTGTCCCGCATGCGTCCCCCCTCCGTTCTGTGAGCAACCGCTCTGTTTGCGTCGCCTCCCCTCCCCCGATCCGTCCCCTGCCTATGCTCACCGGCTGCGCCGCCTTCGGGTCTGTCCGTCTTTCCCAGTCTTCGGTCTTGCATCGCCCAGGAAATTGTCCCTGGTGGTGTTGGTGTCGGTTTTCTTCCTTCCTGTGATGGCCCCAAGACGTCCCAAGACGTCCCCCCGACGGCTCCCAGACGCGCGCTGCTGTGTTTCCCGAACCACGAACCACGGGAGGCTCCCTAAAGAGACAACAGCGGAGGCTCCTCCACGACAGCCCGAGGCCGCGAACGCACAGCTTTTCTCATCTCCGGCAGGATTCTCTGGTTGTCGCCATGCCGGGACCCAGAACGGGCCAGGACGACGCAGGGGACCGCCCAGAACGCCCCAGGACCGCAGAAGGGGCCCAGGGGGCTCACAGAGAGCTCCAAGACGGCCCAAGACGCCCGACGTCATCCGCAGACGGTCCAGGAGGCACCCAAGGTGGCCCGAGAGAGCCGCAAGTAATCCAAGCGAGCCTTCAGAATTCCCCGAGGGGCATGCTGGGCCCTCCGCAGAGGGCCCCAAGAGGATTCGGATGACGTTCAAAGTTCTGCACACCAGGGCTCCCAATAACTAGCGAAGGGTGACTTGGAGAAGAGGGCCCCAGAGGTTTCAAACCCGAGAAGCCCCCATAAACGCCAGAAGCAATTATGACACCCCCCCTCTCCGGCGAAAGTATCACGCACCTGGCACCCCAGAAGCGTTACCAGGGCACCTCGCACTTTTATGTGAACGCAGACGAGTCTGCTCGCCGAAACAAGCAAACCGCCTGAGACATTCACGAAATATGGCCTTACTCTTACTCTTATCTATTTGATATCATTACCCATGTTATCATTATTATTATGACTACTCGTGTTTCACCATTGTCATCATTATTTTCAATATCATTCCAATTTCAATTGGGATGTCACCCGAGCCGGGGCGCGGGAATTGTTTATTTTCGTTTGCGCGGTGCTAATCATATCGTTCGACGAAAACCGCCCCCCATAATTATTTGATTACGGTGCTGTGCGAATGATAACCCGTGGGGGGTCCTCGATGGCTTATTGCGGTTATGCACACCCCAGAGGGCTTAGGGAAACGTCTGTGCCCCCCAAGGGTGCCAGGTTCCGAAAGGCACGCCGCCGACCGTCATCATGAAAGCATTTCGTCGAGATCCCCGCCTGGACCCCGCGAGCTGTTTCGAATAGCCTTCGTGGACGTAGTCCACGGGTTCGCCCTGGTCAGCTACAACGTCGGCATCAGCGCGTGCGAGAAGGGTTTGCAGTGGCAGCGAGCTTGGGCGCTTCTCAGCGAGATGTGGAAGACCAAGCTAGTTCCCGACGTGATCAGCTACAGTGCCGGGATCAGCGCGTGCGAGAGGAGCGAGAAGTGCGAGTATTAATAGTGGTCCTTTGCCCTTCTCGGCGGGATGTTGGAGCTGAAACTGAAGCCCATCGTCATTTGTTATAGCGCCGGGTTTAACGTATCCGAGATGTGCGAGCAGTGATAGTTGGGTTTGGCGCTGCTCAACGAGATGCGGAGATCGAAGCTGGAGCCCCGCCTCATCTCTTTTACGGGACCGTGTGCAGCGAGCCCGGCTTGGGCAAGCAGTACCACTAGCTTCGAGGGAGCCAGATCGGCGTGGCCGGCCCACAGACGGCCCCGGAGAGACCCACTGGACCCGAAGATACCCCGAAGACACCCATGGGAGCGCTCTCACGTGGTACAGGTGCTCCACAAGATGAGGGCTCCAGTATTTCCTAGTTGGCTTCGAAGATGGCCCGCCTACGTCCGAGAGGCCTCAAGATGGCCTCCAGAGACCTCCACAAGGTCCTAAGAGCCACAGTGGCCCTCCATGAAGTTCAAAATCTTCTACATCCGTTAGTTGTAGTTCACCATCTCTGTCATTCCTTGTCTTCCCTGGCCAGTGCGTTCCAGGTGGGCCCCGCAGGTTCCCGACAGCATCGAAGGGCCTCCCAGATGGTCCAGGATTGCCCGGGATTGCGTCCAAGCCGGTACCCAGGCGGCTATAGGATGGCCCAAGGCCCAAGGTTGAAGTTCGCTGAAGGGCAGCTGAGGCGATCTCTGTCAATGAGGCGACGGAGGAGGGAGTAATGCTCTGTAGGGCAAGAGCAAAGATTAACAGCCCCATTGTCAGTCAAGGGTCGCTTCGCAAATCGATCAACCGTAAAACCTACGTGTCACGTTCATTGCAACGCCGCTGCGGCCCGCGGACCACCGTAGCCCGTGGCCCCCTTTCGACGAACCAGTAGGCAGTCTCCAGGAAATCCGGCGGTGCGGTCGTGCGTGGCCCGTGGCGTCTGCTGCCCCCCCGCGGCCGTTGCTGCGCAGCCGTGTTTCATGGGCCCTTAGCGTTTTCTTCCTGCTCTGTGTATGGATCGCGGCGATGGGTATATAGGGAAGTCCGCCGGATTCTCAGGATGCCGAGCTCCGTTGGGATTCCAATGATCGCACCCGCGCGTGCTTGGAAACGTTGTTCTTGACGTAACAGACGGCATCGCTCGGACGTGTGAATTTTTCTCGGCGGGGACAACTGGGGAGCATCTTGGATCACTTGGCAAGAATGCACGCACGAAACCGAGAAATGCAGGAGGAATGGACGTCCGAGCCATGGTGAGACAGTGCTGCCACCCCGACACATCCAAGCCCAAGGTCACCCAGACGCCTCGAGTGACCATCGGGCAGAGGCCCCAAGTGACGCTTAGAGCTTCGAGAGGGCACACGAGGGCCCGAAGAGATCCAAAGACGGCCTCACGCTGGCAACCAGCAGTCAGGGCAACGATAGGGGGGGATAGGTATAGGGGGAGATGCTTTGACCCCCGATCGCCCACTGATCGCCGATAGGTGCCCGATAGCCCCGACCTGCCCAGCAACGTGCGGATTCACTATCGGGGCCCTGTCGCCGATCTGTGGGCGTTGTATATCGCAGATTCCAGGTCGATGTGTCCCCCTGTCCAGAGATGGCAGTGGAGTGGTGCCTGCAGAGCGCTCCCAAACGGCGCTCACACTGTCTGCGCCGAGCTTCCGATGTGCCAGGCACCGTCGTCTTCCCCGGGGTTCTTTAGGGGCCATGTGCCAAGATGGTGCGCGGAGCGCCTCCAAGGAGCGGAAATCCTGTAGTTGCGTTGCGGTTCTTGTGGCAGCCGCCATTTTTCCTTCAACGAACGCCACCATATTGGACACAGAGGCTTCCGACAGCACTGACCCAGACCCCCGACGTCATGAATTTGTTCACAACGTCGACCCTCAGACGTCTCGACCCGTTCCCGTGGGCCGGTTTTCCATTCTGAATCGTTCTATTGACGGTCCCGAGGGCTGGCGTGGGCGTCCAGTGGCCGAAAATTAGGAACAACCTCCCGTCATGATTTTGACATTGCCCGGGGGGGTCTGGGGTGGCAGCCGCCGTGCTTTCTCAACAGGAACGTCGCCACAATGGGCCCAAAGGCTCCCCGACAGCAACGATGAGGCCCTCGACACGCGCCACGAGGCTCCAGACGCTCCCGGAGGAGGAGGAGGGATAGGAGGAGGGATAGGAGGAGAGATAGGAGGAGGGATAGGAGGAGGAGGAGGAGGAGGAGGAGGAGGAGGAGGAGGAGGAGAGGACGGAGAGCAGGAGGAGGAGGAGAAAGGAGGAAGGAGGAGGAGGGGGAGGATGGGGAAAGGGGGGAAGGGGAAGGGGGGGAGGAGAGGAGGAAGGAGGAGGAGAGGAAGAGAGGAGAGGAGTGAGGAGGGGAGGGGAGGAGGGGAGAGAGAGGAGGATGGAGGAAGGGGAGTGGAGGAGGAAGGGAGTGACGCTCCCAGGGTGGCCCCCGGGGGCCCTGCCGGGCCCCCGAGCCGGTCCCGAGGCGGCCCCGGTCCGCCCCACGAGATGGTTCCAGGAGCTCCGCGGGCGGCCCAGGGCCCTTCAAGCAGTGGCGAAGCGTCCTGGCTTGCCTATAGCCGTACCAAACACTGTTCTAAGAGCCTTTTGTGGTTTCCACGAAGTGTTCTCAGAACTTTTCTGGTGGAGCCTGTCTTGTTTTATCACGTCGGGTTTCTGTTCTACGAACATTGTTTTTGTTCTTCGAACATTTTCGGGTTCTAAGAACATTTCGTGGTGATTTCTAGTGGGGGG